GTTGCACTGGCTATATGGGGAGAAATGTAAAAAACTTAATGTACTGCATTGGGACTATGATATATCCTCCCCTTAATGACAGGCTTGCACAGTGTGTAGACTCCTCAACACAATGGGTCAGACTGAATTACTTCAAGGACTGGCAAATGGGTGCCACTGGTGGTGAAATGAAAGCAGCCAGGTACAAGTGTTTATTAAGTGCTCATCATCAGGAGAAACATATTCTCTTCCATGCTATTTTGTAGAAGTGTGAAGTACCCATTTTCCTTTGTAAAAACAGAAGAATTACATTTCTTGAGATTCTTTACTATAACAATACAAATTTACAATCATAGATATGTTATAAAACCAAGGTTTTTTTTTTGTATTATGCATGAACAGTGTGACTTTGTGATAATACTAGTGGGGACAGACCAATATTAATGGGGCAGACCAGTTTTATCGGGCCATGTGCCTTTGGCTTTACAAGACTGCCCAAGTTAAGTAAGTCATTTAAAAAGTTGTCAATTTATTAAGATGACACTCAGTGGTTCAACATATGAGTTTTTATATGCCTAAATTCACAAGTCAGAAAAAACTTTTGTCAGACCATGTTGTCGAAGACTTTGGTAGAAAATGTCATCAGTCTGATGCACACCATGCTAATTAGCTGTTTTATATCAGTTTTTTTGTTGGAAGTACTGAATTGTTAACTGGTAAGGTATGGCATTATGTATCTAAATCTGGTATATCAGCAATATCAGGGATATTGAATGCTTACTACATGCAGACACTGTGCTAGAAACTGGGGATACAATAAGAATAGCAACAGTAAAATGACCTGGTCTCTTGTAGCTAACAATAGCCCTTTGACATGGAAATAGACAAAAAAATAAGTTTATGGAGTTTAAGTGATTTGTCCAAGGTTGGACACCTGTAAAATGGCGGAACTGGAATTACAGTGCTGTATTTGTAACAGCAGCCTAACCTATATCCTGATTAAGAGATCACATAATATAGTGGCTTAAACAAGATAGAAGGAGCTCTTTGGCACAATGGGGCTGCTGAATCAGCTCTGAAGTGATTATGTATAGACTTTGGTTAATGGAAAAATAAAACTTCTATCTTAGTCCTCTGCTGTCCCTGGATATTGGCCTCATTAATACATCTGAAGGTATTTAAGTATTCTAAGGGCATTTCTGGAAGTGGGTATTCCTAACTTCTGTTTGTGAACAGGCCATACCTAGCTGCCAGGAGGGCCTGAAAATAATCTTTGAAGCCATGCACCCCTTAAAATTCAGGGTCTTTATTAAGGAAGAGGGGGATAATTGGAAGTTTGTGTTACCTGCTAATGAAAGTGTTGTTTCAAAGTGTAATTTTGGCTATAGAATTGTCCAAATAACAGTGATCTTGTGACTTTGGATATGCTTAAATCCATTATCCATTTTTTTCAAGTAATATCATATCAAGGTTATGTATATATGTATGCAGTGTGTGTATGATATATTTAAATATTCAAAATATGTGAGATATCATGCATTTTACATGATTCCTCAGTAAATTCTGGCCATCTGCAAGTGCTGATGCAGAATTTCACACTAGAAGTCCACTGGCTTTACTCTTTGGCAGAAAGGCTTGCAAAATCCCCAGGATTTGTCTTGCTTGCATCCTCACTCTCAAAAAGGTCTCAAAGATCTATGTTGTAAGAAATGTGTTCTCAGAGAAATGCCTTCAAAAAATAAAATTATTCTAAGATTTTTTAGTAAGCTATATACTCAGTACATCAATCACAAACAACTCTGATCCAGAACTTGTTTCTCAGAATTCTTGATCTATTCTGATGTTTAGACATTTACCATTGACTATTGAAAAAGCAATTAATATACATTTATTGAGATAATACGTAGATATTAGTTTATTGAGGTGGATCCACAGGTGCTTGCCTAGGTGGCATGTAGGCCCACAGGTAATTGGAGGAGATAAGTACTGGATAGACCTCAGGTACACACTCATGTCTTCTCACACTATCTGGACCCTGGCTCCTGTCCCTAGATCTTACTCAGTTGCTTCTGGGACACATGGAGCCTTACATATGTACAGGCCTCCTTGGTTCTTTTCCTCTGGGTCTACTTTTTAGATCTTATTTCCCTGTTGTCAACATGAAGTAGGAGAAGAAAAGGATAAAGGCTTAATATACAGCTCGTCTAATTAGTCTGCCCTAGGCCTTATCTTGGGAGGCAAAGTGATATTTGTGTGTCTGTGGAGAGGACTTCTAAGTAGGAGGCAGTTCCAAAGCAGTTTTATGACCCTGGCTCCATGAAGTAGAAAGAAGCAGTCTAAAGAGAGTGAGAGTCTAAGAGTCAAAACCCTAAAGAGACCAAGCCTGCAGAAATTAAAGCTTTAATATTTTCTCTCAATATAGCTAGAGCTCCACCTGCTTACAAGAGGTTTAGCTGAGCCGGTGACTTGATTCAGTGACCTTGTGTCTTTTTTTCCTTGGGGGTGGGGCTGGCTGGGCAGGCAGAGAGGCCAAGAGGAGAGTGGAATTTACTGTCCTTGTGCCTCTGCAGGTCAGCACTGGGTACTGTGGAGGGTACCATCCTAAGTGTAAGACGTGGTCTTTGTTCCAGTTCTCAAATAACTGCCAATCTATCTGGGGATCTAGTGTATATGAACCATTTAGTGAAAACCAAGTACTGAACAGTGTGATATTGATTATTCCAAAGGAATACAGACGATAAATCAGTGTGAATTTTTGTCTTGGGGAAGGCTTTTTAGATTGTGTCACAAGTGGAGTGCTAAAGGATGAAAAAAAGCTAATTAAGAAGAATGCAGGGGCTGAGGTTGTGGCTCAGCAGTAGAGCATTCACCTAGCACTTGCAAGGCCCTGGGTTGGATCCTCAGCATCACATAAAGAAAATAAATTAAAAATATAAAGGTATATTAAAAAAAAAAGGTGAAGAATGCAGAAGAGAGGATGTGAACAAAGATTCAGAATGGTTTTCAGGTCAGCAGACCTATGCACTTGAAGCAGAGACTTCATGTAATAAAGTAGAATAGGAAAGTGAAAGACTTCAAAAATCAAGTGTGACTAGCACATAAGAACCCATATAAGATTTTTTTTAAAAAAAACAAAGTTAATGCTATCTTTTTAAATTTTTCATGGAATGAAGTAAGAGTAAATTAATTAATGACTGACTAATAGAATGATATATATATATGTGTGTATATATATATGCACTATATTTTTACAATACATAGAATGCAATGTATAAAATGATATATATTATATATACACAGAAATTAGAAAACATTGTAGTGTTATAATTTATCCATGGAGGGCAGAGGGCATTCTTGTGAAAGATCTCAAAATATAGGTTTCTAGGGAACAGGATGAAGGCAAGTTTACGTGTGAGGTGACTGGTTCAAGGATTGGTATCTGAAGAGTTCAGCATGAGATGTGACTCGCTGAACTACAGAAAACAGGTGAGGTTCAGAGTCAGGCATGGTGGTATGGTAGTGGGCAATCTCACTGCAGCTGGATGTCAGCCAGCAGCCAGGGTTCTGGAAAGGAATCTAGGGAAGGGTTGTATTAGAATTCTAGTCAAGAAGATTTAGATTCAGGGCAAAGCATAGGGCATTGTTGCCCATAGGAAAGCTAGTGAAGGCAAAAGCCAGGTCTGAGGACTGAGCCAATGTATCAGGAATTAGTAGAGAACCAGATCAAGAGATGATAAATTACTGTAAACTCAGCACAATTCTATGCATTGTGGCAATGAAAGAATTCTGGCCTATTTGATAGGCTGAAATTGCTTCCTTCTAGTCTGAGCCAATGAAGATGGGTTGAAGGTGACAGCAATGCTGAGCCTTCTAGAGACTTCAGGAATGGCTGAGGTGGAAGGCCATGGGAGGCTGTGTTATTTGATAAGAGTTGAGATGATGCAGAGGACACCTCGTCACAGTAAGGAGGCTGGCATAGTCCAGGCTGAAGAGAACAGTGCCTGACCAAGGAGAGGTGGTAGAAATGCAGAAGAAAAGGGATGGCGAAGGACATTTCCAATTAAGAAGTCAATAGGCTTCAGTGACAAGTTTGCTATCATGGACAGAGAAGGCAGAACCTGAAATGATTTCAGGTGAATTTTAAATGCTTGAGTAATATGACATTTTCTCTCATGAGCTGAAGGGGTTTTCATGTACAAATGCAATTATTTTGGCCTATTTTTAAAAACCCAAATAAAGTAAAGTAGTAAGCAAATCAATGCTAGGCTTACTTGTGGGTTTGTTGGCTTTACATCTCATTCCTGCGGGTCTGCATAGGGCCATTTCAGAGTAACAGTCGCCCAGAGCATGGGAATGATTAGAAGGTGTCCTTGTAAAAATGTGCCCTTCCTGGTCCAAGATGGTACACTGACGTTCATGTACACAGGCATGACTGAAAAGCCCAAGGTGGGACCCATGTGGATCCTGCCATGCTGCTCTCATGGGGTCTTTGCTGCTGTAGCTGTTTGAGGTGTTGTTCTGTGCCTCTTTGACCCTCCTGGCTGGATCAGAGCCTTTGCTGAAGAACATGTGCTCCGGCCTGGTGGCAGCTTCACAACCTGCTTCTCTATCTGAAGCTGTTTTTTTCCCAGCTATTCATGTGGTGTCACACAAAAGGAAGCACGCAGGGACTTCACTATTCACAAAGGAGGATGGCTGAGACCTCAAGGGGGACACTATTTCTCTTTGTCAGGGCAAATACAGAATCCTTACCTGGGTTGGGAAAATTTCTTTTTATAGGTATGTGATATTTCTCTTTTTATTAGGTTTAAGTCTGCATATGGGGGTGAAATGGATTTCAGAATCATTACTCAAAATAGGGAAAAAAATTTAAACAGCAATATCACTATAAATGACCCTGGTTGTATTTTTGAAATGTTGAGCTAAATATATTTTAGTGATCAGTGAAAGGCCAACTTAGGCACTTTTGAAAAGTTGTTCTTTGAAAGGCCTGGATTAATCAGTTTCCATTTTGTTCACAGATGAACTGCTTCCAGAACTTGGGGGACAGCCAGTGAATTTCTGCTTCAAATCACCTCTCACTGGAAATAGAACCATTGGAGAATCATCTTGTTACCTTCAGTGAAGGAAACAAATCAAGGCACTGAGAATGCCACAGCGGTGGGCAGCCACACCAGCTTTGCGGAGGAAGTTTTCAAGACAGTGCAGTTCATGAGCCAGAAACCAGCAAAGACTGAACCCATCCTTTTCGTTTCAGCTGCTCCTTAAATTAATGCAACCCCTTCAAATTAATGTGAATTGAAACATGCATTGCCTTTCAACTTAATTGAGTACTTACTATGTGTGAATCACTGCACAAAATAGGGGAGAGAAATAGAGGGAGACAAATAAGATGTGGAGCCTGCCTTCAATGAATTTACAATTAGTTTCAGGATGCTTATTTTTTTCTTCTGCTCTTAATTAGGTGTGTCCCCAAGACAAGAAACAAATGAGTGGAAAAGTGTATTCTGTAAGTATTTAAAGTCCCATTAATGAAAAACAAAATTAAACAAATTATAACAACACAACAAACTCATGTGGGCTACTCAGGACATTTTAATTTCATTTTTTTTTTGGTTCAACTTTTGATGAATAAATTCTATTTTATTTTACTTATTTATCTTTTTTTGTGGTATTCAGTGGATGTTAGAGACATTAATATGTAGTTTGAGTTAATATTTTTTGAAGGATGGTAATAGGGATTGAACTCAGGATCACTCTGAGCCACTGAGCCACATCCCCAGCCCTATTTTGTATTTTAGTTAGAGACAGGGTCTCACTGAGTTGCTTAGCACCTCGCTTTTGCTGAGGCTGGCTGTGAACTCTCCATCCGCCTGCCTCAGCCTCTTGAGCCATTGGGATTACAGGTGTGTGCCACTGGGCCTGGCTAGAGTTAATTTGAATTAAGTTCTATTTTTTTCCTTTTGGTGTAGATCATCTGTTGGCAAAGTGTATTGTTTGTACATTTCTTAGTGAGTGAGAAGGTGAATCACTCCTGTTGTCTCTACAGGTATCAACCCTCCATGTCCTCAGGTCTGATATTCTGTGTGTCACTAGCATGGAGAAAAGAAGGATGTGAAACTTGGGGTGGTACTCCTGGACCCCAGATTGGACAGGGAAGGAGCTAAACCCACTTGGGCAATGGCTGTCTGTGAAAATTTGACTAAGTAGTTATTTCATTGTTCATCGTGTTGACCTCTGTGTTCCCTAAGTTGAATGACTACAATTTTTCTAAAAATTTATTTCTGATTTGAGACTAAGTATAACTCGTGATTTTTCCAGTGTTAAGGCTTTGACATGACTGTAGACACTAGACATTTTATGTAGTGTCTGTGACACATTTTAGTATGTATGAGCCAACAATAGACATGTCTTTTGTCTTGAGTAGTGTCCATCTGAATTGAAAATGTGCCAGCTTTTTTTTTTTAACATCATCAACAGACTTCTTAATTAAACTGCCAATACATACTGCCAATAGCACTGTGTGCTGTCTGAGAAATGAATGATGAAAGTGCTGCTTCCATCTTATTAAACAATGCTGCTCCACATATAATGGATTTAAAGTGCTCTTTGAGTGGGGTACTATATTGCTCCCTATATAATTTGATGAGAATTTTCATACCCTCTCTTTTAATTTCCAAAAATTACTATTTTGTTCTTCAGTGAGGCATAGCTCTAATTTGACCAGTAACTGCTTATATGATTCCTCCTTAGTAGGATGAATTGCCCCATACCAAATTGTTCATCATGATAGTGTATATTTATGTCACTTTTAGTTTGCATGGTATAGCTTCCAGGAATTCTTGATTATCAGCTTGTGTTATACCTAACTTTATATCCTATTCCCCATACTGGGAGATTTTTTTGAAGGGTTAATCTCTTCATTCCTGATGCCTGCCTAACATAGTACCTGGTGTATAGTAGGTGTACATTCAGTTTGGTGATTATGGAGTGTAAAGTAGCTCTTTCACTGTGGATCTTAAGGCTCTATAAAAGATGGGGGAGGGTCTTGCTAATGGAATATTACCTTTCTTGTATTGTAGTTTACAGTCAATCTTCTGAGGATGAACTTAAGTAAAGAACATTTTCATACAGTCTAGTCCCCTGGGCCTCTTAAATGGTGTCATGGGGTCACTAGTTCAGCCCTATTTGTACCCAGGTTCACTCTGCTACCACCGGCCCTTGCTCCATTCTCGACATAGGGTGGGGCCTTTAAGGAGGCTGCTCCACTTTTTTTTTTTTCCTCCAGCTTGTCTATCAGTAGAATAAAAAGCACTCATCCATGGGGTACTCATGATATATACTGGGCACTAAGTACTTTATATGTATTCTCTCAATTATCTCATTTAAACTTCACAACATCCAAGTGAAATAGACACCACCTATCACAGAGGTATGTCTTGCTTAAGGCATGGGTATCAAAATCCAGATCTCTTATACTCCAAAGACTGATCTGTTAACCCCTACCCTCTGTTGCATCCCAGGAGAAATTTTGGTGCCTGGTGAATGCAAGCATGTGTGTGCTCAATATATGTGTAGGGGCAGATCAAATCTGGATAAAGTCCAGATTCACTGCATTTAATATTCTTGAATGACACACTGTCTAACAGATAAAAACCCAACAAATCACAGTTGTTTGAAGAATGGGGGAAGGGCTGAGCAATTGGGAAAAAGCAAAGTTGGAAGCAAACCAATCTGAGTCAAACCTTTAGCCTTTACCTCATAATATTTAAAAAAAAAAACTTTCTCTTTCTTTTTTATTTAAACATGGCCTGACATCATGTGATAAATCAAAGCCTGACGTAATTGACCCAGAATTGATCTCCAAATGTCTTTGGGGGGAACATGCTTTAACTCTGGTGGTTGATTCTGAGGAATAATTGCCACCCTAGAAAGGTAATTACATATGCCATTGTTTATACACATAATAGGCTCAGAATGCATGTTCTGCACAAAAGGAGGAATATCCTGCTTGCATATCAGGAGTGTGCATTATGGATTGTGTCAGAATACCACAAATAGCATTTGAACTTCTCCCTATTGCTGCTGATTTCTTCTCTCTCTCTCTCTCTCTCTCTCTCTCTCTCTCTCTCTTTGTGTGTGTGTGTATTATGGTGGGGGGGGAGGTTAGGAGTGAGGAAGGGGATGGGACATGAAGGATGTTTGTTGAGCTAAAATGGCAGTTCTTTGCTTTTCCTTAATTTTTCCATTTCTCAAAAACATCTTCTGGATCTGATTCATTTAGCTTGATCTGGTAAGAACACTAATTTCTTTCTGCTTGGCATATGCTTATTAATGAGTTCTTATATTTCCTTCCATTTAATGATGGTTTACTTTTTGGAAATATATGGTGAGAATCCTTCTCTACAACATCTTCCCAAATGCCCTGATTTGACTACCCATCAAGTACACCAACCAGCCAGCCAAGGTGGTAGTCTTTTCTCCTACTGTACTTTCTGGTAAACCTAAGTGGAAACGAAGCCACAAATTAAAGAACTTTATGCCTTTTCCTTTAGCCATAAGACAGGAGTTATCCTAAGTAAATACAACAAAAAAAGCTATTCTGTGATTGTCTAACCCTGGCAACCTATGTTTTTTCCCCCCTTTTAAATCAAAGCCTTAAAAATGTCATGACTTTTTGTAGTGCTGCACAATGAAAGAAATACATATGTATTCCAATATGGAACTGAGCATTGTTTGAGGCCAAAGCAATTCATCCTGGGCTGTTCTGTGCCACAGTGTCCAGCAAATTGCATGACCTGCTTGTTAGGCTTGACAACAGTGTTTTACCTAACAAAGGCCTCTGCAGCGCCCAAGCAGCAGTGGAATGTCAGAATGAGCACATTTCACACACAGATGTGCAGCCATAATAGCCTATAAGAAGATGCATGTGGCAGGGAGCAAAGGGTGGGGGCTGGGTGCTGGGAGTGGCGGGTGTGTGAGTGTGTAGGTTGGGGCCCGGTGGGAGGGGGAGGCCAACAGTTAGCAGTAGGGACATGGCCCCGCTGACCACATTTAATCAGCCCTCTGTAAACAATTCAACATTTTCATTGTTCTCTAAAAACTAATAAAGAGAAACAAGCACTTTTCATTCATCTTGAAGTAATTTTCTGTCAGGTTGGAGCCCCTCGTGGCCTCCAGCTTGTGCAATGCTAGCTGTGTGATACAACAACTATTGCAATTTATTTTACAAACTCTGGTCATTCACATGTCAGTTAGTGTTCACCAAGCCGGCATCTGAAATTGTGCAGTTAACGAGTTTTACAACATTTCTATCAAGAGAAACTGTTTAGCATAACTGACTCTTAAGGAGTTATTATACCTCTAAAAATCCATTTTAAGGGGCATTATTTAAATAAAATAGAAAAACGGTTCACTGCCTTTTAAAGGGGCTACAAAAAAAGTCCATCAGCTCCAGCGCAGTAATCCTCAGCTTAAAGCACTCTTGAGAGTACTTCTGGGAATTGTCAGCATAATGAAATGTTTTGTGAAATGTCCAGATAGATTCCTCTCCTCAACAATTTTACTGCGCCATATTTATTTTCCTTCCAGTTTTTAAAGAAGTGAATTACTTTTTGAGAGGATGACTCTATGTTGTGTGGATTAACTGAGCACATTATTACCGAGGTGGTAGCAGAAGTGACGGTTCTATTTGCTGTGCCGTCTATGTGCCTCTGCAGAGAGGGGCAAGAAGAAAGGCAGCCCTCCCATCCCAATGCTTTGGCTCCAAAAGGGTTAAATGGTAGTAAAGCTGAGGGAATTTTGCATTTTCCTTAGGTTATATTTTTCTCAAACATTTAAACAACTTTGGTTCACAATAGCACCTGTAAGTACTTTCTTTCAACTTTGTAAAATGGACTCTATTTTCTTATCCTAAATAAATATATGCAGGAAATCTCACACACATGTGCGCTGACACATGCATAATGATGCATATCTTTTAAGTCTTGCCCATTTCAATAGGAGATGCTATTGAACATTTTACTTAAAGAAGAATAGATTTCTCACATTAACTAAGATGGCCAGTGACCCCAAACCAATTAATGACTAGAATCCATAATGGTAGCACTATATAGCATAGCATAGTGGCAAGTTCATTTAACATATTATATTACCTAACAGGAGGAGAAACTACCACTTGTAATGTAAATAGCTTAATGGCTCTTTCTATGATAAGCAAGATCAGAAAAAAATTTATGTTCTGCTTTACCAAGAGATATTCCATATCTTTTGGAGGTGTATCTATAATACTGTACATTTTCATTTTGCCACAAATCTTCCCCTAATTTCTTAGAGTGATGTTTGTGCACATGACTTTAATTTTCTGAGGGAGATGGGCAGGTGTTCTTGTGCCCATTAGTTGTGTCTGCCCATAAGAAGAACAGTAACATCCATGAACCAAATACAATTTGACATAATTCATGCCTTTATTACCTCCTACAGAATGATATTATTTCATGCTGGCACCTTAATGTTTCCAGCACAATACTGTCATTCCTGGAAGTTTTACTTTCTGAAGTTCAAATGTTATGGAAGGAGTTTTAAAATTCCACAAGTGCCTTAGATTTAAGGCAAATACAACATATTTGGTGATAAGCTTTTTTAACTTTTT